CGCCATCTTGATTTGATGGTATCCGGAGTATGCATCGAGGAAACACAAAGAGTCGTGTCCTGCGGTAGTGTCGATTATTTGATCGATGCGGGGTAGGGGGAAGGGATCCTTTGGGCAAGCCTTATTAAGGTCCTTGAAGTCGACGCATAGGCGCCAGGATTTGTCCTTCTTTGGTACCATCACCAGGTTTGCTAGCCAGTCCGGATGTTTTATTTCTTTGATAAATCAGGCCTCGAGTAGCTTGGTCAGTTCTTCTCCCATGGCTTGTCGCTTGGGTTCTGAAAAGCGCCGAAGAGTCTGCTTGACCGGCTTGTATCCCTTTAGTATGTTTAGGCTATGCTCGGCCAGCCTGCGTGGGATGCCTGGTATGTCTGAAGGATGTCAGGCGAAGATGTCCTAATTCTCGCGCAAGAACTCTCATAGTGCAGCGTCTATTGTGGGATTCAATTGTGTCCCGATTGATGCTATTTTTGTAGGGTCCGTTGGGTGGACCTGGAATTTGACTATTTCGTATGCTGGTTTGAAGGAGGTGGATTTGGGTCGTTTGTCGAGTATCACATCGTCCCTGTCCACTGTGGAGCGCAATGCGGTTAGTTCTTCGGCTGTGAGGGCTTCGGATAATGCCTCAAGGACCAGTGCAGCGGTTTTGTTTTCAGCGCGGAGTGCTATGTCCGGATCACTGGCTAGAGTGATTATTCCATTGGGCCCGGGCATCTTGAGCTTCATGTACCCATAGTGGGGTATAACTTGAAAGCTCGTGAATGCATCCCGCCCTAGAAGGGTGTGGTATCCGCTGCTGAACGATGCCACTTCGAATATGATTTCTTCGGACCTATAATTCTCCGGCGTGCCGAATACCATGTCTAGTGTGATTTTTCCTGCACATCGCGCCTCCCGACTAGGGATGATTCCCCTGAAGGTCGTGCTGCTCTGCTCAATGCAGCTCTTGTCTATTTCCATCTTGTTAAGAGTCTCCTCGTAAATGAGGTTTAATCTGCTGCCGCCGTCCATGAGCACTTTAGTAAGCCGGAAACCGTCCACAATTGGACTAAGGACTAACGCGGCTGGTGCCCGGACTGTTCGAAATTGAGGCTCGTCACTTCCATTGAAAGTTATAGCTGTGTCGTTCCATGGGTTTATTGTTGCAACGTGGCAGACTTCGGTGAGGCTGCGGAGCACCCGCTTACACCTGTTATTTGAGGCAAAAGTCTCAAAGACTGTCAGTACTGTATTATTATCCTCCGTGAGATGGAGCTCTGCGGCATTGTTAATGAGGAGATCCTCGCTGCTCTTGGCCACCTGCCGGAGTCCCAACATGCTCTAAGGTTGTCTGTTGGTATGTCATCCGGTGCGCTGTGGATTTTGCATGGCCCGTTGAGCCATCCCTCCATTACGGTTCCACGCCATGTGATGGGCTTTTGCTTCTTTGTAATTGGATTGGGTGGCTTACGACAGCGCACCCTTTTAGTTCGGACGGGGGATTTAGTTAGAGTCGGAGGATCCCAGAATTTTGTTTGGGTTTTCCAGGCGTTTTCCATTGCATAGTACTTCTGTACTATGGTCGCCAAGTCGGCAAAGTGTGCTATGTCACAGCGACTTATGGCATTGAGAATTCCCTTGTCCGTGCAATTATTGCAGAAGAATGAGATTGCGTCTTCCTCGTGACAGTCCTTGACCTTGCTCATTACAAGGAGGAATCTGGCCCAGAAGTGGTGTACTGTCTCTTGGGGCTCTTGTCTAATGTGGGAAAGATCGCCTATATCTGGGTGGGTGGGTAGATTTAAATCCGAACCTTGACCCGATTTGAGACCGAGGGGCAAAGGAGTTCCCGGTCTCGACAGTTCGGACTCCAGGATGTTGCCCAATTTTTCCGGCCACTGCCCGATTCTAAGTTCGGATCCTGGGCCATGTCCTCCCGTAGACGGGTATCCGGCTCAGAGAGCTCGGGAATCTGGACATAGTTCGTCCTTAGAATAGAGGAAGAATCGCTGCGTTGTTCCTCCACCACCGCTATCTGATGGGTGACCAGTGGCGAGTTAATCTCCCTGTGGTCGGGTTTAAGCCCGATCTGATCATAGTCCGTAGCGACTCCCAGGGCGGTGATGCGATCCAAGAGCTCGTTAAGGGAGGAGAGCTCTATTGGATCCATTTGCTCGGCGAATTCCGAGCTGGCGTGGAGGTTGTTCTTGATGACCTGAGAAGTCATCGTCGGCGTGGAGGCCGAACGGGCGGTCATGATGAAGCCGCCCAGCCGGAGAGTCTGGCCTACAGCCAGGGTACCTCCGGAGGTGATGTTGTCCTTGACAACAAGACGAGCCATCAAACCTTATCGCGACGGCACAGTGGAACTCTCAATGAAAGCACCAATGTCGGTGTCAAAACCGGCGGATCTCGGGTAGGGGGTCCCGAACTGTGCGTCTAAGGCTAATGGTAACAAGAGGCGGGGGACACGATGTTTACCCAGGTTCGGGCCCTCTCTATGGAGGTAATATCCTACTTCCTGCTTGATTGATCTTGATGATATGAGTATTACAAGAGTTGATCTACCATGAGATTGTAGAGGCTAAACCCTAGAAGCTAGTCTATGATTATGATTGTGGTTGTCCTACGGACCAAACCCTCCGGTTTATATAGACACCGGAGGGGGCTAGGGTTACATAGAGTCGGTTACAGAGAAGGAGATCTACATATCCGAATCGCCAAGCTTGCCTTCCACGCAAAGGAGAGTCCCATCCGGACACGGGACAAAGTCTTCAATCTTGTATCTTCATAGTCCAACAGTTCGGCCAAAGTATACAGTCCGGCTGTCCGGATACCCCCTAATCCAGGACTCCCTCACCTACCCCGTCCTCACCGCCGTCCGTAGTGCCGCTAGGCAAAGCCGGGCCACAGGATGGCGACGGGGCTTCTCCACCCTTCAAGAATCACGGCCGGCGCGGTACGGCCAGGCCGCGAGGAGGTGTTGGGCGACAACTCTTGGCGGCGGCGTGTGCGACGCAGCGGCGGTGTCTAGGATGCGAGCTCGGCGACCGATCCAATCCTTGCGGCGCAACGGTGATGGCTGCGATTGCGTGGTGGTCGGCCCTATCTCGGGCGGCGGCAGCCACAGGTGCGACGCGGCCCTGTACCAGGAAGGGCGGCGGCTGCATTCGGCGCGCTGTCGGGCGTCAGATCGGCGGCTACGGCATGGAAGCCATGGTGGACCGGTTGGCGGCGCCTTCGGTCAGATCCGATCTGGCCGGTGCAGCCGGCAATGATGGCCATCTGCCTGACGCTGGATGGTCAGATCTTGAGATCCGTCATCTAGCTCCGGCTGCGAGTCGGGAAGACATAGTTACCGGTGAAAACTGAGCCGATGGCAGGCGATGGCGGCGTTCTGCGTTGTTACCTTGATGAAGGCATCATTGTGTAACTACTGTCGACCCACTCGTGCTGCTCTGGGGGAAACCCTAGGATCTAGTCGTCCAGATCGGACGATGGCGGTACTGCGATGTCGTTTTCTCTCTTGGGAGCATCGTTTGTAGAGTGACGCTGGAAGACAGAGGCAGGAGCTGGAGCAGCTTCGTCTTGCACGAAGCTTTCGATGAAGATGTCAAGTCATGCCTGGCCGACAGGTGCTACGTTGTGTCATGCCTGGTCGGCAGGTGCTACGCACGACAGATCTTCCAGAATCTTTGCGTCTGGATGGAAGAGCGTGGGGCAGTGGCACCGTTGGGCGCCATGGTGGCGTCGACGGATGGACGGACTGGCAAGGATGATGCGAATATCTCTCCTGAAGATGGGTCAGCGATCGGATGAAAATGGCGGCGTTAGTATGCATGTGGTGTACGTTTTAGGTCTGCTGCACCGGCTGTTGGTTGCGATACGTTATATAGATGGATCGACGACGACACCGCATTTAGATATGGGAGCACTCCTCATTATCGAGTTTTGTAGGTGTGTGCGGTGGCTTCGGGTGGCTTGATGTATGTTCTTGTTAGACCTTTGTTGAATAATAAATAAAGATGGCCGCAGGCCGGGGGTCTTAACCTCCTTTTCCAAAAAAAAAAACTCATTTGTTCTCAATGAATGCAGGAATTCTGTCATTCCAAAAGAAAAGAAAAAACATCTAAATCCTGCGTTTCCTATTCCTACGTGACACACGTTAGACTGATAGAGGCTCTCCCAGCAGGCCAGTCCAGTCCAGCGACCTTTTCATTCATTCAGTCGATCTACGCTCCAGAGCTTTCTTTCTTCATCAGCTTCCACCGAATCCGGCACACAAGAAAGGCGCCACCGGCCAATCCAGGCAGAAAGAGACGACGAGAGAGCGTCACCATTTTCGTTCCAGGACGGCGACTGCCACTACCTCACTAGTATGAGCAAACACTATCTTCTAATCTCTCCGGTCACAATCTTTTTATTGCAGCCAAACATTTGTTCTGCACGATAAGCATGTTTCATGTCTGATGCCTCTCCAAACATAACGGCAAAGTAATATTTTTATTGCAGCCACACCATCGATGTTTCGACAGCAGCATGTTGGCGCAAAATATAATTGCATTTTTGTTCAGCATGTAAAGGAAACGGATGAGAGCAAGTTAGTTACATGTAAGAAGACGTCGTTTATTCAGGCCAAAGAGGCAGAGCTGTCACTTTGTATCCTGTGTTTCCTGCATCTTATTTCTTTCAGAGGGAAACTTATGACCGATGAAACTTGGTCGGTTGCAGATTGCACACCGACACCGGATCGCCTCACGTCGCATCCAAGGATGCTCCTCTATACATGGCATCCACCTTATTTGTCAGAAACCATGGGTGGTCGGCCTTCTATATAGCCGACCAAGCCGAAACCTCGATCGAGCACTCTAGCACTTGAGGTCATTTCATGTCGACGGGTGTTAGCTTCTCCTAACGAATTGGGAGCTGACTGGGTGCACATCTTCTGTTGAGTTCCCTGCACACCCCTTGTCCTCACCAGCTTACTGTTAGGCGTTCGAAGCTAAAAATAAATAAGTTGGCTAACATTCATCTTCAGCGGAAACTTTCACGGTCTTGCGATAACGTGGAAAAAGCATTCGCTTGATCTTCTTTTCGGCCGAACGTTCAGATAACGCCTGAAACCAAAGGTTCAGAAAGGTTATTCTGGATTGCATGGAAATGCCAGAGGTACTTTAAAAAGTTTAAGCCCAATAACCCACCTGGGCATTGAATGAAAATCGAACGGTCCGAGCTTCCAAGCCAGAAAAGGCTCTGACGTCGATACCAAGACTATCGACACCTATCAAACTTGCATCCTGCAAAATGAATAAGACTGAGCTCTATGAGAAAATCAAATCGAGTCATGAAGGTAGAAACAGCACTGTCACAACCAACATATGGAAAGGTACTGTTATAATCTCACAAAATATAAACAAGGAGAAAATGTCTGTTGATGCCATTTTCTACACTGAAGTATTAAGTTTATAGGCAAAGCAGAGCTTCTTGTACATAAGAATGATTAGTTTCAGATATTGTACTAGATGTAAATTCACACATATTACCAGGATTAAATTTCAGATAAAGTATGATAGTTCCACTAGATGTAAATTCATGCATATTACCAGGATTAAATTTCAGGTGAAGCATGATAGTTCATATGCAAGTTCACACACATCACCAGGATTAAATTTCAGGCTCCGTATTTTTGAGGAATCTTTATTTTTTCAGGAATAAATTTCAGGTATAGTATGATAGTGCAACTCCAAAGTTCAGTTGATGGTAAGAATTATCCTATTCATCATGCACAATAACCCACTAAGGAGTATCGAAGCTGAGTAAAGCATTACTGAACAGAAACACACCTCTACTGTAAGGCCTTTTTTCCGGCTACAGAGGGACCTTAGAGCCATGGTACACTGATCACTGTTTTCTTTGACGCGTTTTATAATGTCCGAAGCATGATTTGAAAGAAGATCTGGTTCTGCATCTTGAAAGTCTTGTGGATCAATCATAAACTGCAACAATAAACATGATGACTACCAAGCCAAGAAAAATGATGCTGATTATTTACCATTTTCACTTTACAAAGTAATACATCGACTGAACTATCCTTCACTTGTCAACTGAAAGCATTGGCTTGAAGAGGGATGCTTTACCTGCTTACCATAGACGGAAAACAGCTCAATTGACATCATTTCCAGCTTGTAGATGGTTGAATCAATGCTACTTTCCGTATTGTTGATGTCCAATCTCGATTTATCACCATCTGAATATTCAGTTACTATTACCTATATGGATGTTCAAGGCAAGTAACTGAATGAAAGATTTACACTGATCAAATTACCAATTAGGCCATTGGTTCCAGAAGCTGGCTGGGGTTCTCTGTTGTATTCCTCTGTTAGGTTGACTCTTATTAGAACAAATAACTGGATAGAAGCACATGAGTGATAAAAGCAACTATGAGCAAGCTGTGAGAAGCACCTCTCCAATTAGATGAATAACCATCGGCACTGTATTCAGCACCAAATAAACTCCTCAAATAAGACTCTTCTTCGATAAAAGCAGGTCTCAGGTATCCTACAATAGAGACACCGTTTGATGGATTATCAATCTTCTCTCCATGATTATCATGAACAGCCTGCATAAGAAAAGTGTGCTTAATGTGGTTAAGGAATGATGGAGATAAGGTAGTGCTCCTTGTGACAATTCAGGCTATGAAATATGCTAGCCAATGCATCTACTGTTTACTTTTTCGAAACGGAATGCATCTACTATTTAATGAACTTCTACAGCAAAATTCAGGATAATAATAAAAAATAGGTGGAGTTTTGCAGATTTTATTTTGTTCTGCACTTTAAAATGGCATGTTTCAGCAATCCACTCCAGTTTTGGGCGCAGCTTTTATACACCATAGTAACTGACGGAATGCATATAACAGAGCAACAAAAAATATATAACTCATTTATGTTTGTCCTTATTTTCCATTGACTAGCTGAGTGCATATCTTGATTATTATTTTTGTTCCGGTTGACAAAGAGCACGTATCTTCGAGAGAAATTTTAGCAAATCTTGAATTCTTATACCCGTTTTAGTCTAAATATGAGTCTACATGATAGGCTAAGATTGTTCTGGGTGTGTTATTTACCTAGGACACCCCCACCCCCACCTCCCCTCCATCGCAAGAGAAGGCACTTCGATTTATTTCAGTAGTTGCTTATCACACAGTAAATGTTCGGGACTTACCTTTGTCAAACACTTGGCAAAATATATAGGATGTATTGAACGCATCGTCACCGGCATTCCCCACTCTATAAGAATATCCGTTATTTCTGTATCAACCTGTGGTATTTCACAGCGGAGAGCATCAATAATGACATGGTTTATTGTTAATGAGAAAACTGACAGATAATGCCAGCTGAAAGCAGCTACAAACTTTCTTAGCGAACCTTGCTGTCATTATCATGCATGTCCATAGAATCCTCAACGACCACGTGGTCGCTGAAATCACTAGTTACCGCACTAGTTTCACCGATAATGGCACCATCCGTTCCGATAAAAACTGTCTGCAATAAAAATGCCATTTCAGTCGTAAAAAAAATATTCTTGCAGCCAAAACGATGATGCACACTACACTTGAGAATAGCGTTCATGTCAAACAAGACAACATTATGATGACTTCATCACAAAATACAGACTCGAGAACTAATTTGACGAGGCACCACATGGTCCTTATAATGCAACTCAAAATGGAATTTGGAAGACAGTGAACCATTTTTTGCCTGTCAGTAGACCACTGATAATCATATTAAAACATCTGTGCTTATCAAGAGACACACCGACAGAAAAGGAAACAGAAGCCATCTTACCACAGGGTTGTTTGCATCATCATCTTCCAAGATGTTCCCGTCATCAGGTACTTGAAAGAAAATGTCTGTATGCAATTTCGCCCAGTGTAAGTGTTAGATGCACAACATGGGAAATGATGAAGATTCTTCTGTAAAATATGTGCTTGTGGACCAAGGAGTTACCTCCATAGTCATCAACAACATACTGAAATTCTGACCAAGAAACATGTCCATGAGGTTCATTATGCACCCTGGCAGGAAATACGAGCAATCCCTTGCTATTTGCCTACACAATATGGAAACATTGTCCAGCAAACGATAAGATATTTAGTACAGCGGGAGGGATTCATGTTAGTTATTTACAAATGTATGCTCAGACTTAAGCCGGGGCACTTTATAGTCATTGCTATGCCGAATTAAAATGACTGGATGCACTTAGCAACAAAAGCACTGTTTTGTTATCATAGGTTACCTCTACTACTGTTCTAGCTGTTTCTACATCTGTCAGTGAAATGTCCTTTTTCTTTGGGCGTTCTTTGATTTCTTCAAGAGGATGGTATCCCCGATCTCTCATGTACTTGGAATCTGGCACTGAATCTGAGTAGTCTGCAGCCACACGGACTTTGGAGAGGGATGAATCCTGATCAGTTGCCAACCAGCAAGGCTGAATTGATCCAAAAGTGTTTCGGCATCTAAAACTACAATACATTGTTACATCAGTCAGGTTCAACAAAAAAGCGTCATTTAAGGGAGTAAGTTGAAGCAGTGAAGGAGGGAGTAACCTTAAACTTGAGAAGTCATGAAATCTCTGGGTGTGAAATGGGGTTCTGATCCAGTTTACAGTGGCTCCTGCCGACATTGGTAAACTCCAGCGAAGGACAATCAATTATGTCTGCGAAAATACACCAGTTGGTAACTAAGAAAAGCACTGTGCAAACATGAAAAGGAAAATAACGAATAAGAGATTATGCAGTGCATATGATTTTTCTTTTACGACAAACAAAATTGTATTTCTTTCAAAAACAAAAGTGTCATCAATCGCCAATTTACAAGTAAAAATGGCTAAAGCAGAAACTGAAACAATTAATCAATGGCACTACTATTAGCAAAGCGAAATGTTAATTTCTTCGGCAAAGGCAAGGTGCACAATCAGCATTCCCCCTTCTCCAGCAGTGATCCCAATTCAGAGTAGCATAACAAGCCAACCATCTAGATTCTAGAGTTCCTCAAATCACAGCAGACTAACAGAGCACAGAAGACTGGATACAAATAGGGAGAAAGATGATTTTGAAAAGAACAAACAACAGCTCATTTAAATGTAAATCTAACAAGTCAGCATTCCTCCTCCCAACTGCAATTCTACATGTCTCCGAAGAAAAGAGCCACTCTGAATTGTGCGAATTGCCACTCACAGTAACCACTAGCACGCTCCGCAAATCCTATTCTTTCAGGCCCTTCAATCCATAACCCTAGTTCCTGAGCACCTCGCTTTCTGGTGGGGCCTAGCGGATCAAGAACACCGGCAAAACTTAAGCCGCTGCCGCACCCAGCACAAAATCGCACGCTCTAGTACAGAAGCGATTCGACCAAATCCTCCAGCCTGAACCAGGAGCTGCGGTGAACGCTCACGTCTTCAGGAAACAGTTGCACCGATGGAGAGGCAGTCGCCCCCTCTCCGCTGTTCCTCCAACGGCAGAACGAAACAAGATTACTTCTGTTCTCCTCCTCCTTGTCCGAGATCACGCAGACAGACGCTGGTCGCAGTCAATCTTAATTGGAGGAAAAAAAAAGAGAGAATAGCAGCACTCACCTTCAGCTCGCCAGCAAGCCGCGGCGGGATGGTTTGGTCCCTGAGACCCAAACCACGGGGAGGGCAGGATAAGAGGAAAATATGATATCGGCCGGAGGCGGCGAGACACGAGCGGCTCCCTCGCTCTCTCGAGCAGCCCCGGCACGGCGGAACCGAGGCGGATCACGGCGGCGGAGAGTGGCGGTGGCTGGCTGCAGAATACGGCCTTGGCGAGCCGCGAGGAGCCTATTTTCTCTCCTTGGCCCGCCTCGCTCGCTCCTCTGTTTTCCTCTGCCCCTTTTCCCCCTCTCGCCGTGCGCTTTCAGGCGTGGGGCAGCTGCACTAGGGAGGGCGCTTTTCGTAATTTGACTTTATTATAAGATATTTTTTTTTGCCGCTGTGCTGACCCAAGTTCCAAACCAAATTTTTATATTTGCAGTTGGGGACAGATTCTTCCCTCTTTGAAACTGCAGATTCTTGCCTCGGTTTCTCTTGTTTTCTGAATGTTTTTTTTGTTTTTGCTTCTGAATGCAACGCACAGCGGCACTGAGATGTTTTTGGTTCGGTTGGGGTTGGTGAGGAGCGGATCTCGAGGGTAATTTTCGCATTTAAAGTGTACCGTGTTGGCCCCACTGCTGCTAAAATGAGTGAATGATGTTGGCAGGGACACTTTGGCTCACGCTTTAATTATTCTAATGATCACATGTGTTGGCGGTTTTGGCACACAACTCTACGTACAACTCCCCGCAAAACAAAACAAAAAACTCAACTTATAACTACTACTACTACTATACTCCATTTCCTTCGATTTTCTTGTCAAACTCGGTCATGGAACGGTGTAGTTTTCTTTTTTAAGGAAAATGAAAATCGGCAGGGTCTCATTCATCATGCGCCATGTTGGTGTTGGGCGATAAGCCTCGTGTGCAGCGGATGAAGGATGTATGGATGGCATTCGAGTGAGAAGATACCCGAGATAGGGGAGCATCTTCTATTGCACTATGCGCATGCATGTCAGTTGGGATGGGACGGGCGTGTGCCATGTGTCGTACCTAGCCTGAGGCCTCCAATCGCATCGCAGGAGCGGCGGGGGAATATGTCTTCCAAATTGTACTATTCCATTGGCATCAAAGTTTGGGCCTCCGGACGGAAGGAATCTGCAACGCCAGCCTCACGCTCGTGATCGGCCGGCACGCACCAGAAGCGCACGATCGGCTGGATTATCAGGCGAGGAACAAGACATGTTCCACCCACGATGACGATGCACTCATTACATCTGATGCCCTCTATTTTTGTACTTATCAGAAAACTTTCCGTTTTGCTATATTTATTCCGTATGTTTGTATATATCCTCGCTTTTTGTTTGCGGAAAATGACGTGTGGGGCCATGTGTTCTGGTTACGGTCGCCCTTAGGCTGGTCATAGTGGGAGTAACATAGGTAGTAACATAGATGCCACATAAGCAAAATTGGTGATGTGGCAAGTAGTTAATGAGGAGAGAGGCAAATAAAGTAACATAATATGTTACCATCACATAGCGGTTTCCAATGCATAATGAGTCTATAAAGTAATAAATGAAGGCAACTATGTTACCACACCTATGACACTACCCACTATGAAGATAATAACATAGACTAGTAACATATGTATGTTACTAGTCTAAGTTACTCTCCACTATGACCAGCCTTAGTGTGGCGTGGCACATGCGACGTGAGTCGTGGCGTGCGGCGGGCGCTGAGCCTGCACCGGCACCGAAATGGAAAGGCAACCGCCGGCGCCGAGGACTGCACCGCGTGCTCACGAGGCGGCCCGTACGGCCCACCCAGAGCGCGGACACATACGCCCCAAGCCCACCTAAACTGGCCCGGATCCTCTCTCCGTCTCCGTCCCCGACGCCGCCACGCCAGGCTCTGCTGCCCGCGGACCCTGACCGGAGCGGCAGTGACCACCAGCCATCCGCCAACTCCGGCGATAAACTCTCGCACAGAGACCGCCGCTTCCGTGGTTGCTGTCATCAATCTGCGGTGGGTTACTGGAGGCAGGTCAGTCCCCGGGCTACTCGTTCCTCTCGGCACAATCTACGCAGGTCTCCTCCCCTCATTGCGTGTAGACGAACAATCCATGGTAGATAGATACCGCTAGACCCGGCAGGAAGATAAAGCCATGTCGTGTAGTCGACCGTTGTTGTTGTTTACTCCCGTTTAGCAGCCGAAATTTCTCTGAAAACCCGCCGCTGCCCACTGAAGAAATGTGCCTTGCGGCGGCGCGTGGTTGGGTGATGGATCCTGTGATTTTATTATTTTACCTAGGAACCACGCTGCGCTGATTTACTGGTGATATTATGCTTCCCCTGAGGTGATGCTGACCGGTAGTGACTCGTGAGCGCACTGCATTCCAAGCTCGGTTTTCCA